CACTCTTGGTTCAGACAGTTGCCTTCTGGCTAAAATAAGGCTCTGACACTCATGGGATGGGGACCAGGACTGATGTGGAAAGAATGTCCACCCTCCCTCTCCTAGCAGCTGCTTTTTTGCTGGATATTTTAGTAATTCAGCCACTGGGAAAATCCTCCATCCCACATCCAGGCAGGCTTTTAGCCTCTGTTTTTAACAGAGACCCCCTATTCCCTTTACAGGACCACATGGGCTCTGGGCTTCCTTCCTGCCCCTTGATTCCTTTGCCCACAGTGGCCCTGCCTGGCCTGGCCATGCACACTGCAGCTGCACACAGCCATGCCTCCCTTTGTGCACAGAGCCCTTCATCCTCACCCCCGTGGTGGCTGCAGGGCAACTGAGGCATTCTAGTTGATTTAATTGTCTGTATCCCCTGCCAGCAAGGGCTTCCTATTCACAGCACAGTGCCTGGCACATACTAAGATAATCCATTCAGAGAACATTTGCTGAGTATCCTGCACATGGGATACACCAGTGAACAAAACAGACCAGGACCACCTGTCCTGTAGACCTTACACTGTAGCACAGGAGACAAGCAATGGGTAATAATAAAGGGACGGAGTAGGTTAACAATGCAGTCGTAAAGCAATAGGTGAGGCCAACACCATAGAGCAGGAGGTGGGAATGGGAGTGCTCAATTGACACAGGTGAAGTTGAACTTCTTGACTTCATGGTGCAGTGGTGTGTGCTGAGCGCTCTGACCTTCCTCACCTGTGCAGTTCAGACCAGCAATCCTTAGCACAGAGCGTGCACTAGGCACTGGGGCTGCATCTGGTGGATTTCTCTAACCAAAACATAGTAATAACAGGTAAATATTGATGGATCAGCAAGAACATTGGGATGTCACCTGGCAAACCATACTACATAGTTCTATTGATACTTTTCATTCTTTTTTATTCCCAGCACACAGAGAATATAACATTCATTCAGCCTTCAATAAGCCTGCTCAGTGCCTGCAAAGCCCAAGGGCGAGGGCATTGATATCCCAGCAAACCCAAGCTGTTTGAGGCCCTGGGATGGAAATGGTAGCAGTGCTGATCACACTTCTATACACCTTAGACTCTTCTGGGGTGGTTAATATGCAGATTTCTGAGCCACACTGAGAACATGGGGGCAGGACCCAGAGATCCTCTTTGTTAACAGTTCTCCCAGATGATCCTGAGGCTGGCAGCCTTCTGACCACGCTTTGAGGAACTCAGCTATACAACTTAGCAGAGGTATGGGGGGAGTCACAATATTTGTATGGTTGTACTTGAAGTTGGGAGCTGTGGAGGGAACAATGTAGATCAGCGGTTCTCAAGTGTGCATCAGAATCACCTGTAGGGCTTATTAAATCATGGGTTTCTGGACCCACCCCAGAGTTTGGGGGTGGGCAAGATATGCATTTCCAAATAGTGCTGGCCATGAGGCCTCACTTTGAGAATTGCAGATGTGTATCATTCAAGAAGCTTGCGTGCCTTATGAAGTTGGCTTTCTCTCAGCAAATGTCACAAGGACAAAGTTGGGGTTCATGCTTAGGAAGCTAAGACTAAACCCTGTTTAGTCAGATAGCATCAGAGGAAATAAATTTGAGAAACTAAAGCAAAATAAATTTCCTCTTTGATAAAAGCCTGCCCTGTAAGTTATCTTTACACCCACCCTCTAGCCCACAGTGAGCTAGTAAATGCTTAACAATCCTTCCTGGGGCCAGGGACCAGGGGGCTGATTTGTAGCTCCTACCCATTTCTGTGGTGTAAGTATTTCCACCATGACCATTTTCAAGCTGCCAGTGTGAAGCCACTGAACATGGAATTGGAGAGAGAAGTGCAGGGGGAGCCTTCCTGGGCCCAGAGGAGCCAGCCCCCATGTGTGACTGCCTCCAGCTATTGCAGGGGTCTGCAGCCTTTCACAGAGAGTCTCCATTATTTGGGTAGTTAGTTCCAGTCACAGGTCCCAGAGACCCTTTCCATCTGAGCTATGGTTGCTGACATAGGAACCTTTCTCAGAGTACATAAGCCAAAATCACTGCCTGTTCTGGTGTCTGGCCTGGGTGATTCTGCAGCACTGGGGCTTAGCCTTCAAGCTCTGGGCACTGCCCAGGGTCCAGGGGAAAGCCCTTCTGGAAGCTCTCTTTCCCACACATCCCCTAGAGCAGTGGTTCTCAACCTTCCTAATGCTGCGACCCTTTAATACAGTTCCTGTGGGTCACTACCCACAGGTTGAGAACCACTGCCCTAGAGTGTCATTTCTCCAGGCCTAACAGTAAGAGGAGGTGCACTTTAGACACCAAGGTCAGTGTGCCTCAGGGTGCAAGGGAAGATTTAACGGCCACCTAAACCTAACTAAGCTAAAACCATCTCAAGCTGAAGAAATTATTTTTTGAGGTAACCCACCTTCTCAGACAAGTGACTAGGAAATACTGGAGGAATTTTTCTTTCTAGAAAATAAAACAACAGAGAAAGCCAGGCATTCCTCTTGAGGCAGGGCCAGCGATGGCCCTTTATAGTCACAGGGAAGTGCTCTGAGTGTAGATGATGCCCAGAGTGACAAGTGGATCTTGAGCCACATGGACTAAATCCAAATTCAGCCCCGTATATGTCCCCCAGACCTGTCCACACACTCTCCACCTGCCTCTTCGCTTTAACTCAGTTCTGCTTTCTTTCTTTCCTAACTTTCCTTCATCTTTCCAGATGCAGGACGCTATGGGCTATGAGTTACCCTGGGTGTATTTTGTCAGTCTGGTCATCTTTGGATCCTTTTTCGTTCTAAATCTGGTTCTCGGTGTGTTGAGCGGGTAAGCTGACCATTTCTATGTCCTCTTTACAATGCAGCCGAGCAAGGTCTCAGGTCCCAGTAGATCCATTGCCAGGATCCTCAGGGACAGGACCCTAAGAGGCCCAGGAAAACCAGAAAAAAAAAAAAGTCTCCATTCAACCACAAATTCCGCCCCCTTGACTGGGCAGACTATCTGGCCTCTGATTTGCACCTGGAGGATCCCGGCCCCGGTGCTGCTCGGGTCAGTGTCCCGGGAGCCGGTGACGGGCGCTGGCCGTGCTCGGTTGCTGAGTGTGTCTCACTAACTATCATTCCATTCTTCCAGGTCAATGATGCCGTAGGAAGGGACTGGCCCTGGATCTATTTTGTTACACTAATCATCATAGGGTCATTTTTTGTACTTAACTTGGTTCTCGGTGTTCTTAGCGGGTAAGCAGGACCAAGGAAAAAGGTCTTGATTTTTCCATTTATTTTTATTTATTCTCTCTGCTCTTCCTGACTCTATTCTTTTTCTGGCTCTGATGAACCTGGGGTAAGGGGTCACCTTGGGAGCCTTAAAGTGACTGTCCTTGGCCTGGCTGGGTAAAGGGTCAGATGCACAAGAATCAATCCATTGGTTTGGGTGGCAGATGATGGAGAGATGCCTGGCCTACCTGTCTCTTGCCAGCTCACCCAACCGCTGCCCAGCCTCAGGTAGCTGTTCAGAGCCAAATATGTCTCTTTGTGCCTGAATGACATTCTTAGCATTGGGGTGGCATAGTAAGACCCTTGAGTGAGATGAGTGTGAATTTAAGGAGGGTACCTGCTGGGCCTCTTTGTGGCAGGCTGATGGAAAAGATTTCACATCACTGTTACTCAGTGCTGAGCAGACCAGGGTAAGAACAGACCAGTTTCAATATGAATAACAAATATTGACTCCAAATCTAATTCTCTTCAGTTCTAATTCATGGACTGATCTGTCCATCTCTGGTGTTTCCTTTTCTGAATGGGACATTTAACTATTTAAGGCCTCAGATTATTTGAGAATAGAGATGGACTATACTTCCCTTCAAATTTATCTAGTCTATCTAATTTCAGCCCTTGCTCAGATGAAATTATAAAAGTAGCACAAGGTTGGAACATCAAGTAGCCCTGAGGATGGCCACTTTTCTATATGGAAACAGGGCGTTTCCTCAGCCCACTTTCTTTGGAAGTCCACAGCAGCCATGCCAAGGCCTAACACCTAAAGGCTCCTGGTGACCAGCTCAAGGGTGACCCACTCTGCTGCCTGTGCTACAGGGGGTTGGGGTGATCTATTTCTGCTCTGCCTGAGACAGATCAGCTGCTTTGAATAGTCTTTCCTAGAAATCTAGAGACCTTTCTGCTGGGAGAAATTTAAGCATAAAGAGAAAGACTGCTCTTTGCCTATGAACTGGGCACCGCCCCTCCACCTCCTGTGGCAGGAACTCTGGCTTCACCTTTGGGAATCAGGTGAAGGAAAGAACCTGCCCCCACCCTTGCCCCTTACCATGGAGGGTGGTCTGTTAGAGATGTAGGTTGACATCATGCCTTTTGCCAAGGTGAGGCCACACAGGAGACAAGTGCCTTCCATCAGGGATAAAAAAATGTATGAGTAGAACAATGTAAGTGGGTCCCTGATTAGTTGCCTGGAGGGTAGAGGGGTTGTCATTATGTTCAAACACAAGAAAATGCTCCTGTGTTTATATGCAACTCTCCAAGGAAAGCATTGAAAATTTACAATTCAAAAGAAAAACTTGAGTATCCCAGCTCTGCACTTGCTGGATGCATGATGTTGGACAGACTTCACCTTTTAGACCTACTTTCCCCATCTGAAACAATTTAAATAATGAAACCAACTCACAGGTATTTGTGATGATCAAATGAGATCATTTGTGTAAATACTTAGCGTAGGAACTGGTGCATAGTAAGTGCTCAATCACGGTGCTGTCATTACAGTGATTGTTATTTCCTTGGTGCCTATCATAACTGGAATTATTGAATAGAATCATCAAGTGTTAGGACCATTCCAATCTTGCCTTTCAAAACTGAGGAATATGAACCCAGACATGAGAAGTGAGTTGCACAGTGTCACTTTGCTGGTAAATAGCAGACCAGGGCCAGAACTCCGCACAGCCTCATTCCTCTCCTCCCATCACTTCCCGTTATAATGAGCTTGAACTGTAACGTAAGTCACAGCTCAAAACATTTAAAAAAATGTAATTCCACTTTCTTCCCCTAGAGGTTAGGAAGCAAATCTGAGCAAGTGAAATTCTCTGCAGGAGTCTGAAGTGGAGAACAAGGGCTAGACCCTGAGGGCCCTCGGTAAGCAGAGTGTGTGCCCAGGTCATTCCTGGCCCCTGGAGGAGTGCTCTTCCAGAGGTGGCAAAACAGAGCAGTCAAATGGCAGAGGCTGCTGATGTTAGAGGAAAAAGTCCTTTAGAAGGCCATGGCCTGACTCAGTCCAAGTGAGACAGGCTGTGTTTAGGCACCTCACCCCAAACCCAGCACTTAGTAATACTTGAAAATGTTGGGTTGATTCTGACCAGGGACATTAAGGCTATTTGACTTCTGCACCTGGGAGCCTGAGTCCATACATTGATCTTTCCTGGAGACCTTCCCCAACATCTACTCCTTACAGCTCCAGAATCACTGGGAGAAAATGTGTCAAGGCCAATAGAGGGTCTGCCCAGCAGAACAAAGAGGTGTCTGTCAGTGAGCACCTCCACTTCCTGGTTTAAGGAGGTCCAGGGCTGGCAGCTCTGAGTGGGCCACCCCCACCCCATGCGGTGACAGGAGCTGCGGTCATGGCTGGGCACACCATGGCGAGTTTCAAGTCAGCACCTTGACTAGCCAGGACAATAGAAAAGTCCCCCCCAAGAAAGCGGTAAAACATTACCTTACTCAGACTTCTGATTAACCCAACTTTCCAGAAGCATTCAAAAAAGTCTCCCAGCTCTATGCAATTCACTGCGATAATGACAGCATTAACAGTCACTACCATTCTGTGTCTGGCTCTGTGCCTGGTATTTTAGGTAGATTAGCTGGGTTAATGCTCCTAACAGCTCTGTAAGCAAGGTGCTGTTCCAGTCTCCGTGCTACAGAGAAGAGCGGTGAGGTTTATAAGAGGAAAATACCTCCGTTCTAGCAGATGAAAAATGGAAGATGCAGGGTCAAGCCTGAGCAATGTGAACCCATAGCCTTATCTGTAACCTCCACATTGTACTCCCCCCAACCCCACGTGCTTTCAAAAGACAGTCAGAAGTGGGGAGGGGAAGAGCAGAAGCTGCAGTAGGAAGGGCCCGTGAGGAGTAGGCAGGCGCAGAAGCAGTGCATGGCAGGCTACTGGAAACAGCCAGTGGGAACAGAAGGAGGCCCAGTGGAAGCTGCAAAGGTACCGCCCTGAAACCTGCAGAGGGCTGGGTTGTTTAGCATGGGCGCATGGGGGCCTGGCGTCTGGCAGCCTTGCAAATCTTCATGGTCCCTGAGAGAGAGCAGAGACACCACTAACAGCACTGTAGTCTTGGAGCCTCTGGAGCTAGGGGGAGCAAGTGTGAACCCCTACGTCTGTCAGTGAAGGATCAGCACATGCTCATAACTCATCCTCATAAATCATGTCCTTCAGTCACCAAGGAAAGGTTGGCTTGTGCTTGGCATGTCTCCTCCTGAAAGTAGAGGAGATGACGCTCTATAAAGCTTCATTTAAAAGGTGGGAATTTAACGGTTTGCGTCATCAGAGGGCTAGGCATCCTTTATCTGGAACATTCACATATCCAGAACCCCTTATTCCTGGTGAGGCCAGGTATAGCTAGTGAAACAAATACACATCTCTTAGATTTTTTTTCAAAATACTACTGTGTTCATTATCTGTTAATTTCATGTCAATCTTATGCAAGAAATACGATTGGCATAATGTAGATAATAGTCAGATTATAGTTACTTTCTCCTCCAGTAATCTCAATCTCCACCCTTCTAAAATTAGAATGACAATAGTGGCAATGAGACTCTTGAAACTGCACTTGGTGCTGTCATGAGGTAGACGTCTCCAGATCTGAGATTTGGTTACCTTTATTTTTAAATGACTGCAGAGGCTTCAGCTGGTGCAAGGCTCAGGCTCTCTTGCAGGGTAATCATCCCAGCTTTTTTCCCATTGAGAGATAGGTATGTCTCTTACCTCAAAAAAAAGCAGAGGACTAGATAGGTCAGCATTTTACATGGAAGTGTGACTGGCCCCTGACTCTACAGTTAAGACGCGAGATCCAGGTCCAGAAGAAAGCAGTGAAAAGGCTAGGACACAAATGCCTTGCAGGTGGGAGCAGAAGAGACAGCAACATACATAGTCCTTGCTCCTTACTCACATTTTATAAAGTCACCAGGTACCCACACTGAATCAGTGAGGACTGAGCCATCATTCCTAGGGAAATAGAGGGTTAGGTTCCTGGGAGCTTCTGCTCACAACATTTTGTCAACCAATCAATACATAACCTTATTTTATGTGTGTTTGTTTAAAGACACCTGATTTAATAGATATTGTTGATTCATCAACGTTAAACTTGTGGGTGACAACACTGTAACCTGTGCCTGAATGAAGCTTATTTAACATGCATTATTCAGGCATAAGGCACACACAGCCTTCTTGCGCTTAGCGACACCAGACAGTCCTCAGCACTATGCTTGGGGGCCATTTAAAACAGCAAAATCACTAACAAAAATGCAAAAAACATGGCACTAAGTAGACCATAGAAAGGACACTTGTTTGTAGTTTGAAAGCTGAAGCAAGAAGGCAGAGCCTTGTTTGACCTCAGCTGGAAACAAGTGAAGCTTTTGCCATTCGCGCATGTCCTCAAATGGCTGTGAAAGTGCTACAAGCATTGATATGGGGCTTACAAACAGTCCAGTGAGTAGGTAAATTCCTAAATGTGGAGTCCACACTTAACTATGTTGATTGTCGGAAGGCCTGGAGCCCAGGTGGTCTGCACTGATTGGACTTTCCACATGTCCCAGCCCCTGGCTTTCCCCTCCACCCTCATTTTCCACACTGGCCCTTGCTGACGAGAGCCTGTCGTGTGACCACTCCCACAGCTGTGACCCATTGTCTTGCCGGCGGCGCTGGGCCCTGGGCCTGTCAGGCTGGGGCTCCACGTCTTCATTAGTGCAGTCTCCAGGGCACGCACATGGCTGGCATCCAAGCAAGGAGGTGCAGAAAGCCAGCACTGCCACCCCCAAATCCCTCACCACCCTGGGCCTGCTGAGAGAAGCCTTGCTCACCTTCCATCCTGCCCCAAGCCCGGTTGTGCCCCACACTCCAGGGCAGCCGCGATGCTCACACCTGACTGTGCTGCTCTTCACCCTCCTTCACAGCCCCAAAGCCCACCTTCTTCTGCTGGAGAAAATATCTCCAGGTCAGTCAGAACCATCAGCATACCTTTTTTTTTTCCCTTGGTTCCCCCAGAGGCCTTGGGATATAGATGGTGAACTTTCCTTCCACTGGAAGGTGCTATAAAATAGGACTGGGCCAGCGGTTCCTCCTCCAGTTGGATCCCAGTACTAGCCTCCCAGCTCCAAAAGAAGGCTGGGTAGGTGTGTTGTAACCAAAACGTGAACCCTCTGCAAAGTCATCCACAAGAGCTAAAAGGAGCCTTTGGCTACTTAGCCCCTTTCAACCTCAGCCCCACGCAGGAGGAAAGGAACAGAAAATGCAAATGAGCATAGGCAGAAAGATATCCAAGAGAGGGGCCTTTGAAGTGCAGTTTTCAGTTGATTTGCACAGGGAGGGAAATGCTATAGGTAGTTTAGCATCTCTGAAGAACAAAGCCCAGGCCCATGGAGGCTTGACCAGGTCTAGGGGATCTTTCATGCCCATCCTCAAAGGTGAGAGCAGGGGCGCAAAGCTACACAAGGCCTCGTTTCCACTGTGAGCTGTCAGTCTGGCCCCTTTTCCCTGGCATACAACTCCCTGGGAAGCAAATGAAGGTACCTGCTGGTTGGCAGGAAGCCTGAGAAATAGCAAGTTCAATCCAATTAGAATTGGATTTAATCAAATGTAAGAAAAAAATTCAGTCTAACCCACAGCATCATTAAGGTAGCAGTTGAAGAGGACTCGTTAGCTTAGAGCCCCCACATTCTGCCAATTAAAAAGTTTCCTGGACTCCACCCCAGCCCTGTTTTACCATAAAAACAGTGTGTGCTAAAATCTATGCTTTCGTAATTGGCACAGGCAGAATGCAAAGACTAGACAGTGTATGTGGTGACAGAGCCATGCCACATGACAGTGGATTTAGGAGTGGAGGCTTTTATCCCCTGTGCTTTGTTGGTATTCTGCTTCCTTCCACGGTGCTTTTCCTACAGTGTAGCTTGTGCAAGAAATTCTTCAAAGTGGTTTCAGCAGCCTCTGGCCCTGAGCCAGGCCTTCACTGGTGAGAGGAAGAGGAACCAAGGTTCCAGGAATTAGCCAGGATGCCCGCACATGTATGTGAATGTGCGCACACAAGGGCCCCGTTTCCCACATTCTGCATATCAGTAACAAATCCTCTCACCTACCTATTTTGGAAGAAAAACCACAGACTTGCTTCGAGAGTTGAGAACTTGCCTTATTGATGATTGCCTTCTGCTGCCAGCCCCCTCCTTGCCAGAGAGAGTGAATTTGAAGTCAGAGAGAAAATTAGGACAGAATCATAGAAAAGAAATAGTCATTCTATCAGAAATTTTTCAATAGGCCCTTCTTCCAGCAAATCCCAATCCAATTCCAGTTTCTACTCATGATTACCTTAAACTGAATGCATCATTTAACTTTTATATCATCTTGATTTTATGTATTTTTAAATTCTGATTGGATTTTTTTTTTCACCAAAAGGGTAGCCCCCAGGACATTTTCTTGTGTTTGGAATCCTCATTTGTCTCCATATGGGAAAGAGTCTTCTACATTAGAAATCCTTCCAATCATGCTAAGAGTGGCAGGTGGAATTCTAATAATAGGAATAAAGGTTGAGGAGATTCAATCTCCTGGGTCCTAAGTCAGTGGTATACCAGTAAATATTTAACAATATTGGGGGAGAAAGCCCTGGTTTATAGCATTTGCCAATTACAATGGTGTAAATACGTCTACCATGGCTGATCTCGAGCTACAAAGGGGACATCACTGAAGCCAGAGTTGGGAAGAGACAGGCATGACTGGCTCTCAGGACCCAGTGTGAGTGAGTGGGCTTTGGCACATTGCCAGTCCTAACACCTTGTGTCACTTAGAGACCCCTGTGGGATTTTTTAAGTACCACCCAGTACGGAGTGGAATGAATATGCATGTTCCATAACTGTGGTAGATGTTTTTAATTACTATGTGGAAGGAGGTTTCAGGTCTTTGGAGAGCACTTGTTATTAAAAGGCAAAGCCTGTGATCATGATACAGAAAAAAGGTAGATGGACTTTCTCCATCTCCATGGCCTGTGTTAGGAATGTCCCCTGCAGTGCTGCTTTCCATCTCTGTGAGAGTGACTAGGGAGAGCTGTCTGTGGAAAGCAAAGCAGAGATGTGCGGGCAGGTTTCTGGATGCAAAGCAATTAATACTTTTGTTTCTCCTTATCTCCATCTCTCCTTCCACACCCGACCCTCTTGGTGCTCCCTCCTTCTCCGGGCTCTCCTGCCCTGCCCACTCCTCTCACTCTCGCCAGAGAGTTTTCCAAAGAGAGGGAGAAGGCCAAGGCTCGGGGAGATTTCCAAAAGCTGCGGGAGAAACAGCAGCTGGAAGAAGATCTCAAAGGCTACCTGGACTGGATCACTCAGGCAGAAGACATCGACCCCGAGAATGAGGACGAAGGCATGGATGAGGAGAAACCCCGAAACAGTGAGCAGCCATCTTCTAGCTTTGGGCTGGGTTCTGGGAGAGAGGAGACAGTGTCAAAGTCAGCTCAAAACCTTTCCCGCCAACCTTTCTTCACAGGCCAGAGTCTGCCGTCCTGGAGCAGCACTTGTCTCAACGATCACAGTCATTTGCTTCTCATAGCAATTAGTCACACGTGGGAAACAGTTGTGATTGATCTATAAAACCGTGTATTCCTTTTAGAATCTTTGACCTTAAAAGGCAGTTGAGAGTTTTCTAAGGTGAAGCCTTTTTTAAATCAGACATCCTCCTCCTCCTCCAGGCTGCATCTCTTTGGGCAGAGGAGGAGGCTTCCTGCTCCAGACTAGTTTGAAGGGAACAAGTCCTGCCAAGTACCTTTATGGAAAACTTCATACCTGCCTGGGATTCTGACCCCCATTTGCAGTAGACTTCTTGGCACTGTCCAACTTTCTCACAGGAAAAGGGAGTCAAAATTTTCTCCTAAAAAAGGCAGATTCAAAGATCTGGGAAAGTGCTAAGTGGCAGGGTCAGGGCCGCTGGAGGAGTTGACAGAACAATTAGATTACAGAAATTGAGCCAGATCCCTTCCTCTGGGGTTTCGTGGGGTAGGCTACTGCTGGGATAGAAAGGAGAGTGATGGAGAATATTGACTTTCGGTGCATCAGAGATGATGCATCATGGAAGTTCAGGCTCTCATCAGATGAGCCCAGTGGTTTTCAAACTGTGGTCCTTGGACCAGCAGCATCACGTGAGAAATGCAGATGCTTGACCCCCACTCCAGACCCACAGACTCGGAAAGTCCGAATGGGACACAGACATCTGTGTTTGTACAACTACCCCCGGTGTTTAGGGTGCGTGATGCATTTGAGAACCCTGGGTGAACTTAACTCCTCTGTGCATCTTTCTTGCTTAGCCCCAGTCTCTGTGACTCTAACCACTCTTTCTTCCTCTTTCTGTGTACATTATCTTTCTCGTTCATTTACATATTGGAATAAGTGCAATTCTGCCCCCTCAAGCAGCCTAACCTAAAACCACGTTCTTAAACAGTGAGCATCTAGAGTACTCAAGGAACCAGACAAGCTAAGGTGCTTACCAGGACGTTTGTTTATACAGAGCCATGCAGGTGAGGGCAGGAGCCAGCACCCCAGGCACAGAGGGTGATGCAGAGAGCCCCCGAGGGAAGGGACGTGGAGAAAGAGAGGAGAAGACAGCCAAGGTGTTTATGGAGAACAGAATCTCTCCTTTCTCATTTCAAAGATGGATTTAATAAATCCATCAACTCTTCCCTTTCTGATAACGCTGCTCAGGGTACAAATACAAAATTAAAGCGTACTAACAATAAGGGACTGGTAACAACGTAATTTAGTAACCTAAGGAGGTCTGCATGCTCTACTAAGTAGTTTTGCAAGTTGGAAGATGGGGCCTTTGATGGATTATAACAATGAGTGATGATGCCATGGAGGGTCTTTCTGTAAAAATGCCTGACAGCCTCTATTACACTGTGATGGAACTGTGGAGTAGTTGATTAGTTTGCGGCACTGAGTGGTATGGCATATAAATAAATGGGCTGGTGAGCCACAGAGAAGCTTACCTCGAAGCACAGGTATTGCTGCCCTGGCCCCTCACTCCACGCTGAGCCAGAGTGGAGCCCCTAGCTCATGATTAATGGCGATGAGCATTTCTCTGAGCGTGTGTTATTAAAAACGTGAGCTATCCGCTGCATCTTTAGCAGCCAGTTACCATCCATGGAGACACGTAGTTAACTCTGGTCTCTGCCTAAAGCAAGAGCTTCCAAGGGGAAGTGTGCTGCTCCTCTGTCTTGCCCATTAAGTGAATAAATTCCGAGGAGAGTTCCCAGCATGGAGGATTCTGTGCCGCCGGAGCAGATCCCATTGACAAGGCCCATCAACCACATTTCTGGCCAGGCTTTGCGAAGAACGTAATGAACTGCCCACTCCAGTAGGCAGAGTCTCTGCCAAGATTTTCATAACCCCAAATATGGATGAAATCAGACTCTGGAGACTATAGTTCCTCATACCTTGCACTGCTCCCTTGTGGCAGGAGGAGCATTTGGGGTCTGCTTCTGGTTCTTTTTCAGTGGGAAGCTCCAGGGAGATGGGAATATCCGAACTTTCAAGGTATAGAGGATAAAATAGACCCATGTGAGGAAATGGAATGTGAGAGTCTTGGGAACGGAGCCAGGGCAATAGTCCAAAGGACCACATCTACTGGGGGCGTCCAGTTAAAAGTAGGGTTGATGTGATTAAGTGATTGAGGCATCAGAGGCCTAAGAGACTTGCAGAAAAGGCTAATCTATGGCTGGGAAACTACATTCTTGTCTTCAGGACTTCAAAGTTTGCCCTTTGAAACAAACACAAAGGGGGAAATCCTGCCACAAATGAAAACATATGTATGTTTCAGGTAATGGTACAGGGTATTTGCCAGTTCTCCTCAGCTCAAAACCAAAGTAGTCCTTTAAGAGAAAAGTTCTGATCACTCTTCATCAGTGGCTCTGGTGCTGCAGCTTCTGCCCCGGCAGCATCCCAGCAGTGTCCTCAGCAGTGAACCCTGGGTGTATTGTGGGGACAGCTCCCAGCACATCACTGCATGGTCCCTAGGCACCACTGAGGGGAGCTCAGCCACTCAGTTTTCCTAGGGGAAAGCTACAAAATCCACCAGGGAAGTGGAACAAAAAGGGGCTGAGAGGGAAGCAGAGAGAAAGTGCAGAGTTGGGAGGTATTTCTCCAAATAGAGTAAATGAAATGGCCAGTAAGTTATATACAGAAGTATTTTCCAGCTCATCCATCCATCCATCCACAAATTAAAAGTCTGCTGTCTGCCAGGCACTGATTTAGGCACGGGTGAGATAGCCACAGGCAAAGGAGTCAAAACTCCCCGCCCTGGTGTAAGGCGTGCTCCCGTGTGGAGGCAGACAGGGAGTGATAGTGTGTCAGAGAGCACAGCGCCCTGCAGAGAGGAAACTGGGGGCGTGTGATTTAGATGTGGTGGCCGGGACTCCATCTCCCGGAGGAGGCAGCATTGGAGTAATGACCTGACGGCCACAAGGAAAGGAACCATATAGGTATTTGGAAAAAGAGACTTCTGGGCCAAGAAAGCTGATAGGAAGGCTGAGACGGGTGCGTGGCCAATGTGTAGGAGTAGAGGAGGCTGGTGCAGCCAGAGGGGTGACTCAGGAGAGCTATGAGAGCTGGGGCCGAGGTGGCCAGGGTGGACTGTGTGTATTTCTATAAGAGCCTGGACTTTCCCCAGGAGTGGGCCTAGCTGCCTCTGGAGGTCCTGAGTGAGGAGCCCCGTGCACTGACAGACGTGGGCAGGTACCACCCGGCTGCCGAGTGCAGACAGAGCCAAGGTGGGGGGAGAGCAGAGCAGGGTTCTGTCAGGAAGTGCTGCCTTGGGAGACACCAGGTCTTGCCTTCACACCCTCAGGGGGATAAGGTCACACTCAGGATGGCATCATTTGCGGGCATTTCAGTTGTGGGATGTGAGAGGAATTGGAAATACTCCAAGGCGATGTCCTACATGACAGCGGAATTGTCACTAATTGATATAGGGAAGACAGTGAGAGGGAGAGGTGTCAGGGCACGAGGCTCAAGCAAGCCATCTCAGGTCTTTAAGTCTGGAACTCCTGCCAGACATCTAAGTGGAGATGTTGAATAGGCAACTGGAGTATACATCTGAGTCCAGGGCAGAGATCTGGGACTGAATTATTGGGGAGTCAGCAACATATTAAAGATACTCAAATAGATACGAGATCACTAGGGAGTGAGTGTAGACAGAAATGAGATGAGCTCCAAGAATTGCGACCCGGCCCTCCTGATGTCTGGAGACTGGAGTGACAAGGGGGAACCAGTGATGGAGACTTGAAAGGTGTGGCCAGGGAGACGGGAGGAGATGTGAAGGAAGGGGGTCAGCGCCGCTGATGGCACAGAAGCTGACCACTGGACTAGAGGAGGGGGCCTGCTGGTGCCTTGACAAGGGCTGTTTGGTAGGATTTGGGGGTAGGATGTCAAATCAGAGCCTTATTTTGTGAATCTCTTGAGCCCGTATGCTTCCTAGAATGCAGGCTTCCTGCTCTATTGGCATGGTCCAGCTGCCGGCTGTCTGGGCAGTTTGACCACGAGAAAATCAGGGAAGGGAGAGGAGACTTACCTAATCAGTCCAGCATGCCTGTGGCCCTAAGGGAGTCAGGATCTAAAGCCCAGCCCTTCATTAAGCAATTGGTTACAGGGGGCCTTACAAAAAGAGGACATGATACTTGAGAGCCATTGCAGGGCCCACAAGGCAGAAAAGAGGCAAGAAAGGACATGTTTCTGCACTGTTGCTCTGCATGTAGCTTCCAAAGCGGGGCAGCTGTGTGGGCCCCCGCCTCTCTTCTCCCTGGGCAAAGATGAAGGTGATAGTGAGATCACTCCCCTCCCACCAAGCACACATGGGCATCCCTTTTAAGGCCTCAGTTGCACAGCCATCACCTCTGCACTGGGTTCATTGTCATCAGTGGAGCTGTGATGCTCCCAGGGACAGTGTCCGTTGTCCACCTCCAAAGTCAAAGCTGAGGGAAGGCCAGCATTAGAGGAAGAAGGCGTAAAGAAAGAGATAGAGATGGGTTTTCTTCCTTCTTTTTCCCCTCATGATCCAAAGATGCATTCATTAAATGTCCACCCATGTGGGAATCTCTCTCTCTCTTCCTCTCTCTCTCTCATCATTAAGACAATTTAAATGTGGCCCCAACCCCATGAAGCTGGGAGTCTAAGACAGGCATTTATGTGGATGAGCATATAAAGACAGAAAGGCGGTGGAACCAAAACATTGAATTTCCACCCAGATAGACAGGATTAAATATTTACACCAGTACTGCTCAGTTATGTGACTCAGGAGTCACTTTTGCAATCATCATTAACCCACAGAGCCGCCTGGCTGCTGCCCGCCCTCCAGAGTCCAGGATCACTGAGATGCAGACATCTGAGGGCTTCTAAGAGCCGCAG